CCACCGCCACCGCCGCCCGCGCCCCCCAAGAAGCTGCTGTCGCCTGAGGAGCCGGCGGTGAGCGAGCTAGAGTCGGTCAAGGAGAACAACTGTGCTTCCAACTGCCACCTGGACGGGGAGGCGGCCAAAAAGCTGATGGGCGAGGAGGCCCTGGCGGGGGGCGACAAGTCAGACCCGAACCTTAATAACCCCGCGGACGAGGACCATGCCTATGCTCTGCGGATGCTGCCCAAGACCGGCTGCGTGATCCAGCCTGTGCCAAAACCCGCGGAGAAGGCTGCTATGGCGCCGTGCATCATTTCCTCGCCCATGCTCAGCGCCGGGCCCGAGGACCTGGAGCCGCCGCTCAAAAGGAGGTGCCTCCGAATTAGAAATCAGAATAAGTAAAAGGTTTGTATGTCCGCCGGGCACTCCTCCGCACCAGCCAGTGCACCTCTCCTTACTTCTGACAAGGCAGAGGCGAGAGTTGTAATAATAGTCATGATTTTACCGTGTGTGTTTTATATTGCACCCGGTGTGGTCACGCTATCAACATTCTGAGCCAGCAACTCTGATGCTGAGTTGTTCAGTAGTATCATTCCCATTTTACAGCCGAGCAAACTGAGTCACAGCATGTGAGTGCCAAGCCCCAGGTCACTTACTTGAGGGGAGAGCTCAGTCTCGAACCTGTCGTGAAATACTCTGTCCCTAATTACACGTTTATTATCATGCTCATCTCCGTAAATCACCCTCTTGGAGAAGCGAAGGATCGGGGGAGGAAGAAGAGATTAACTGGGGACACCTAAATGTGCGATCATGAGGTTGCAGGGCAGTAGTGAAATGTCCAGTGAATCCATGAGCTGGGCCACCTCCTAAATAGAGTTGGTTGCCTCAGTGGCAGAATGTCACCAGCTTTTCTTGATAAGGACGGAATTCCATTTGTAAAGTGAGAATGAAACCTAACTCTTACATGCATATGTCAACTGAACCCAGGCTACTAAGTCCTATTTGCCTGGCAGGGTATCTTTCCTGTTCATGGGGTCTCCTTCCTGCAGTTTGGCACCAAGCAGCATCCTCCAGAGTAGGCCTCAAGCGTCACTGACCAGCTTTGCTCTCTCCCCGTTTTGGGGCCCAGCAGCTCAGCTGATGAGTTGCTCACCTTTGTAGGTAATGGGAGGCTTCGATAGGGAAGAGGGTGGCATTGCTAAAGTGAGTGACACTGCACATCTCTGACCTCATAGACTCCTGCTTAATGCCAAGTGAGCTGCTGAGAGTGAGTTAAAATTTTCAGCATTGGAAAGGGGAACTAATGTGTGCCTGTGACAGGCAGACGTGGCCTCATTTGCTCCTCCTGCCAATCCTGGTGGAGTAGGCATCATCTGTATGTCACCAAGGAGGTAGATGAAGCTTAGAGACTGTGCCCAAAGCAGAGCTGGTACATGGGGATGCAGTATTCAACTCAGGCCTGTTGGACACAGCCCAAGCTCTCCCCTCTATCCAAGTGGGTATCAAACAGGCCGAAATTCAGTTGAGTTTATCAACTTCTTATGGAGAGGAAGAGGAGAGATGAGCATTTTTCAAGCACCTAACTTGTACACTGCTCCTTCCAGGGACTGGGGAGATACAAAGGCAAATATGGTGGCGTGCCCCCATCTGGTGGGAGTGCAAACTCCAGGAGGAAGGAAGCGGGGCCAGGAGAGTGGATCTCATAAGATGAATAATTGCTCACATTTGTATGCAGGCTGTCTTCTAAGTGTTTTCCAGTAGTATTTATTTGGATCTGGACCCATAGGACAATTATCGTCTTAATTTTATTGATGAGGAAACCAAGACAGAGACATTAAAGTAACTTGCCCAAGATTTTACCAAATTTGCAGAGTTGAGATTCAAATCCAGGCTGTCTGACTCCAGAGCTGCATTTTTTAAAAAACCACTGTAGGAGAATAGGCTAATTAGTTTCTTTATTACTCCACATACTAAAATTGTTTTACCCACCTCAGTGGGTAAAACAACTCCCAGGTGTCGTAGGGGAAAGTTTCTTTAAAAAAACAAAAACAAAAACTAAGTCTACCTCCTAAGTTCTCTAAGTGTTCAAACAGTTGAATTCTTGTTTCTGCAGCACCAACAAGCCTACATTACCAACCCATGACTCCACAGTGGGAAATACAAACGTGGAGCACAGCACTTGCTGTGGTGTGTCCAGTCCATGATTTCTAAGTTGGGCCTCCAGCATAGCCAGGAGATTGCTTGGGAAGCACAGACCAGAGAAGGAGACTTGTAGGTTGTGGAAGAAAGGTTTCTCAGCTACTGTTGTTTGAGGTTTCCTTTTTCTCTGATGGCTTTGCCAGTAGAGGAAGAATACTAAAAATGAGTTCACCGTTGCTTCTTGATTTTACATCTACAAGTTCTGCTGCCTGAAGACAGATGGCCTCAGCCTTCTCACAGTCACCTCACTTGAAAATGCCCCTGATTTCTTCATGAGAGTAATTTAATCTGGTTGACAAAGCTGTGAGTAATGGGAAGATGTGTGACCAAAAAAGTGATGGCCTTCAGAAAGTCAGAAAGCATTGGGAATTGTCAGTTTAAACACATTCTAATATCACTCATTCAGGTGAGGCTGAAAGAAGAATGGGAGGGTGAGAGATTTTACTATTATACCATCACTGGAGTGAGAAGGGACCAGGTCAAGAATAGTGACACTAACGTATGAGTAGCATGAGACCAAAAGAACATAAAAACATAAAATATACGATGGCTATTTGGATGATACATGTTTCTGAATAAAGAATCAGTCTTGTATGTGGAGCAGAATCATTAAAAATATTAACCTGGCTCCAGGCAATTTCAGATGATGTAGTGATGAAATTGCCCACTACCTCTTGAGACTGAAGAATTCTTTCAATGATGGGTCCCCCAAGAAATTACAGCTTTTCTTTAAAATCAGAAATACTCAGGCTTTGTCAGCTATGAAAGAGTGACAAGGCAAGTGATTTAAGATGGGGGAAAAACCACCTCTCCTCCACTAAATCACATTTCCTCTTGCCTTCGGAAGTTCCGTGTCACCTCACAGCACAGTCTCAACCTACCATAATTTACTCACATTCTCTGGCCCTTCCTGGCTTATTTATTTATTTATTTATTATTTTTTGAGACAGAGTCTCACTCTGTCGCCCAGGCTGGAGTGCAATGGCGCGACCTTGGCTCACTGCAACCTCTGCTGCCCGGGTTCAAGTGATTCTCCTGCCTCAGCCTCCTGAGTAGCTGGGACTGTAGCCACGCGCCATGATGCCCAGCTAATCTTTGTATTTTTATTAGAGATGGGGTTTCACCATGTTGGCCAGGTTGGTCTCCAAATCCTGACCTCAAGTGATCCACCCGCCTCGGCCTCCCAAAGTGCTGGGATTACAGGCGTGAGCCACCACGTCCGGCCCCTTCCTGTTTTTTTGTGCACATGTGGTGCTGTTTTTCTTCTATGCCTTCAGAAACCCAGACCATTCATATGGTTGGGGAAACTGGAAATGTATCCACTAAATAAAGGACTGTATGGCTTTTGTGCCCTGATACTGAACACTGGTGACAAGTTAAAGCTGAAGTGGAAAGCATTACAAACCAAAAGCGAAACTCAGGCTGAGATATGGTGGGTGAGGTGCAGGTGAGTGATTTCTCCATGTGCTTGTTGGTGATTCATTATATATTATTTCTCATATATATTCATTATATATTATATAGGATAATCTGTCAACTTCGGTCAGCATCTTCGTTCTTCTCCCTATGTCTGCCTTTTTCATACGGTAGTACTATTTTATTATTTTTATTTTATGTAATTTATTATTTTTTGAGACAGAGTCTTGCTCTGTTGCCCAGGCTGGAGTGCAGTGGTGTGATCTGGGCTCACTGCAACCTCTGCCTCCTGGGTTGAAGCAATTCTCCTGCCTCAGCCTCCTGAGTAGCTGGGATTACAGGCATGTGCCACCATGCCCAGCTGATTTTTTTGTATTTTTGGTAGAGATGGGGTTTCACTATGTTAGCTAGGCTGGTCTCAAACTCCTGACCTCAAGTGATCTGCCCACCTTGGTCTCCCAAAGTGCTGGGATTACAGGCGTGAGCTGCCGCACTCGGTCTGTAGTACTGTTTTAAAAAATCATTTAAAATAGATCAAAAGCAGACCAAAGTATCTAGAAATTAGCAACCCAGGCAGCTACAGTTGTCTTCAAGGAAGTCTTATTTGCTAGTTCTTTTTAAATTACAGGGTTTTTTCCCCATTTGGAAATTATTCTTTTCCTGGTTACCTGCCTTTATGCATTCTTGTGTGTTGATATGATTACAAATTATTTCAGTGGGCAGCTATTTTCCCCAGATGCAGAACTAATTAAGTTTAGCTGAAGATTTTTAAAGGTTGTAAACTTCCTTTAATCTTCAACTTTTGAGACTCCAAATGCCAGTTCTGTAGCTTCTGTAAGCTGGAAAAAATATCCCCCCAAATAATAAGGAAAACAATGTACAAACATTTTCCAAACTATTCTATCCACAAAGAATTCCATTTATAAATGGAATACTCCCTTCTTTGTCTTTGCCTAGGAGCTTGGGGGATAGCTGTTTGTATTTGTACATTTTCTGAATTTCTACAGTTTACACTTGTTTATGGTACATTGGGGAGTTCAGAGTAACCATTTGCAAATGTTTGAAGATATTCAAAAGAAAATATTCCCCCTCCTCAGTTTTCCAGGGAAATGACATAGACTCTTTAAGTAAAATAATCAATGGAAAAAATGTGTACGAGGAGTAACCCTTTCATCATCACTTTTTCCATTCTCAAGGAGCAGCAGGTCCATACAGCTTTCCACCTTTGTGGCTCCCAAATTTCTAAGTTTCAAAAACCAGAAAGAAAATATGAGACCCTTTTTCCTAGTCCCAATTTCCTGATACTACTGCAGGCTCAGCAGGGGGGACTTGACTTCTTATTTTCTCAGGGAAAGCTGGAGGAGGCACCTGTAGTTTGGCTTTTGGAGTTTAGTTATTAGTCTGGTCATGGAGCGACAGTCCTAAAACAACTGTTCCAAGGCAAGGAGTTCGCTTCATTGGGGAAGCCAAAAGGGTGGAGGTCACAAGTAACTTTTTTGCCAATTTAGTTTCTCAAACTGAGAAGTTCAAGAGAGGAGGCTATCTGGGAGGATGTTGGGAAGTCAGTCCATACATTCAAAACAATACTATAGGTGCCTACTTTTAAAACAAGGAAAAGAAGGAAAACTGACAGTGACAAGAGGAAATCAGTATGAATGCGATGTGCTCAGATTCTGTGTCAGACTTGCACTATCTAATGGTCCAGCACTTGACTATTGGGAATGTTAATTGGTGACAATCCCTAAGTTAAGGAAGGGTTAGCTTGTCTGTTAGGATGCAGTTGGCACATA